TGTCAATGTCTTTTTAATGTGTCGATGTTGATCGCGTTAATTATTTCGATATCCTCAACACATATGTAATCGTCTAACATTTAAGACAATGCAAACGCGTCCGATGGCAATCATTGCAGGAGGTCGCGTATGATCGTTGCAATGTATGCCTGGAGTCGTATACAAACGAGACAAAATGTCACTCAAAGACAACTACACAGCTCGCCTGGGTTTTATTCGATGCATACTGCGCTTCTGAACATTTCTTCCATCTGTGCTTTTCTATTTTGCTTCTATTAGTCAATTACGAACATGTCGAGATGGATAAGAATGGGTCGATTTCGGAATTCAGCGAAGAACAATGAGAGCGAGATATAACAATTAGCATTCAAGGCAAACTTTGAAATAAAGAACGACAGTCGGTAGAAATTCTATACGGTTAAATAGTTCGAACATGAATGAAAGATAATCATCGATATACTTCAATGATATCCACTGATATTAACAGGTCAATAGATCTCAAAGTTTTCCTTTTGTCTTCGTATCTGACACTATCTATTCAAATATGATCATATCAGAAGATTAATTCTTTTCTCGAAACCTTCCGTACTTCTTCTATTTCAAGAATAGCAGCATTACGTCATCGCCATTCACTGACTGACATACAATAGAAACATGATGTGTTAATAGATTCTATTGACGAGAAAAGTGAGCTTGATATTCCTAGAGAATATACTTTGATTAAGAATGAATGTGAGAGATTAGCTATTGTCTTTAAGAGTTAACCTTACAGATAGGAGAAAGTCAGTTGCGTCTTATCAACGCAGAAGAATGGATGATCGCATTCGATTAAAACGAAGACTTGATCGGTACCATCAATCTTAACATGTGATATTGTATTGAGGAAAATAATGAATGGATTATCGACCTATTCGATAGGCAGAGCCTTGAAAGGAATAAAGAAACCATACATAATCAAGAAGTTTTGTTCGCGCAAAGCTATTTTTCATAGACAATTGTCAATTAAATCTCTCGCGTTTGTTATGCAAAGATTTAAGATTAAGTGATAACATCGACACACTGATTTTTATTTATATATATAGAATACAAGATAGTAGACAATGAATAAAAGAAGGAGAAAAAAAAGGTAGTTGATGTTTCTAGAGCGAAAATCCACATAAAAGATTTGTCGATTGAAAGAAAGAGAAAAAAAAATTAGGAATGTGTTTTATATGTGTGCGTGTGTGTGAATCGAAAATTGATGTTTGACGAGAAGATCTCCTGACTAGTCATATCTCCTCGTCGATTTTTGTTTCGGACTTTTCTTTTAATTAATCAATCATCATTCAGACACTCGTCGTTTGATAATACAGAAAGAGATTCTCATCCGAAAACACACTCAAAAGACAAATGTTGTTGTTGTTGTTAATATAAAAGGAAAGAAAAAAAGGAAACGTGTTACATTGAAACGAAAGAAAAGAAAAAGTGTGGGCTGTTTTTAAAACATCATGTTCATTCACTTTTGTTCATCATCAACATCTTGCACTTCGTTATGTGCGTTATCATTATCACCAGGCATATCCGTTGTCCATAATGTGAGATTGTCACGTAAAAGTTGCATAATCAATGTTGAATCTAAATTCAGAGCGAAACTTGCCTTTTTCTCCTCTAACCCAAATCAGATTCGATTCAAACCTTTGTATGTATCTTCATTGAGTGTATCCAATTCAGCAATGGCATCATCGAAAGCCTTAGAAAAGACGAAGTTTGATTACGAAAAGAAATATTTCGACAAAATACACATACTTGTTTGGCCAATCGACAGGCACGTTCAGGTGTATTGAGAATTTCATAATAGAATACCGAGAAGTTCAAAGCTAGACCAAGACGAATGGGATGTGTTGGCGGCAATTCGTTTTGTGCGATATCGTTGGCTTTCGTGTAGGCTACGAGCGAGTTCTCTGCAGCTTCTTTGCGATCCTCTTGGGTGGCGAATTCGGCTTTGTATCGGTGATAATCACCTTTCATTTTCAAATAAAAAACTTTGCTTTCACCGGATGCTGCATTCGGTAAAAGATTCTTATCGAGTAAATCAAGAATATCTTGACAAATATCACGTAATTCTTTTTCGACCTACAAAACGACATTTGTCGAGAACAAAGACATTTAGGCCAATGACAACTGACCTGAGAACGATATTTCTTTATCATAGCCATTTTACTATTTTCCGATTTGTTTTCTTCTTTGCTTTCGATATTAGTAATGATACGCCATGATGCACGGCGTGCTCCAATTAGATTCTTATAGGCTACGGAAAGTAAATTTCGTTCTTCAACGGTCAATTCTTGATCCATTTTAGCGACCTTTTTCATGGATTCGACCATTTCTAAACAACAAACCAAGTCCACATCCTTGTTAATTAAATTAATTTTTTTACCTTCATATCGTTCGGCTTGTTCAGCCAATTTAGCTTGATAAACATCATCATCACGTGAGGCAGGCATGCTATCGGAGAATTCAATAAGTTTATACTAAAGAAACAAATCAGACGAGTGTTTTGTATGGGCAGAGAAGAGAAAACGAATAAACAAAGAATTCTAGTTGTAGACTAACGACCATATTGTCTCGTTGAACGATTCACTCATGCTGAATTTAATAATGAGGCAGAGATATGAAATTTTTAAATATATTTTTTCCAAGCCGATATTTATCGCATTCGATAAGAAACTAACAGAAAAATCATTTTCATTTCAATTGATTTCACTCATAGAGGACATCTGTAGATGTCAGGATTGGTGAATGATGAGGCGAACATTATTTTCTCCTTCTGAACATTAAATAAACATTCCCTTTCAAATTATTCGTTGAACGTTTTCACATCTTGACAATTCATTGAAGATCCTGACGGACTCTCTGTTAGCTTTTCGATTGATACAATCAGCCGTCGTTCGAAACAAAGACTGTATCGTCTTACATGACGTCATACGGCTATCAAATAGTTGGTCCTCGTGACAATGGCAATGTTCAAGTCTAATTTCGAATGATATTTATTATTTTTCTTTACATAGTCAAATCTAATCTTGAATCGATAAAATTTCCTACAAACAAATGAATAGATGTGATAATAAAAGCAGAAGTGAAAGAAATTGGATTGAAGAGTTGTTTTGTAATTGACTAATAGACCATTTGCTGAGCCATTGGATTAAATAATGATAATGGATTGGAGAAATTACTTGTTGGCGTTGGAAGTGTTTGACCAGCCGCCATCATAGGCATACCGTTTGGAAGCATCCGGCCTTGTTGCATCATTGGATGATATCCGAATGCCATACCTTGACGAGGAACAGAATACATGTAGTTTTGAGGAACGTATGATGATGGTGGTATTTGAACCGGTCGATACATAAGTTGTTGTTGTTGTTGAGCTTGCTGTGGCATCATACTCATTGACTGGGGTTGTTGCGGTGCAGATAACATCATCATTGGCACTGGTTGCTGTGCACCTGGTGCCATCGGTGACGATTGAATGTATTCGAAACTTGAATCCGATGAGAAACTTGGATTGTGTTCAAGAGCGTTGTGAACTAGAGCGGGCCGCCCGATCGAACCAGCGATCGATTGTGTATGATAGGGATTACCCGAAGCCATCATACCATTGGAAAAGGATGGTAGTGCATTGCAAGGATTGCTGTAGGGTGAGCCTGGTTGACTGAAACCGCTACGAACTGGTCGATCAACTTTGATTACTCTAGGAAAAAGTGGACGGATAGATCTATTTTTCGATGACTCGTGGCGATAAAAATATATACCGTGTTCGAACAATTGGTGGCGGTGCTTCTTCATGCATTTCTTTCTCGATAATGCGTGGTGGTGGTGTACGTGGTTGTTCAATAACACGCTCGACGATCTCCTGGGGCTGTGGCCGAATAATTACCTAAGAGAGGCAAGCAGAGAGCTGAATGAGTATTTCGGTGTTCTACTACTTACACGTTCCATGACAAGTGCTTCAGGTGTTGGAGCGCGTTCGACGACACGTTTAATGATCGGGGGCGGTGTTTGAGCGCGTACTACGTCACGTGGACATTTCATTTCTCGTGTAATCATTCGACCTCGATATTCATAACTGTCTGTACTCTCAGTATCTGATGAGAACGATTCCGGTGAATAGGAACTTTGGCGATCATCGTATGAGTTCGGATAGCCAGCCGACATCAATGTTGGATCAACATTATAGCCAAGTGCAGCTCCACCATTCGGATAGGCAAAACGGTAGGACATATTTTCTTGTGCGTTAAACGCTTCGTATCAAATGAGAATAGATAGTGAAAGTGTTGTCTGCCCCCACACATTTACTATCACCGATATGGTTGAGTGCATCGTCTAGCAGACCAATCAAAAGGACATATTTGAATCAAAAAGAAAGCGAGCGAGAAGATGGGACGATGACCTCGTTAATGGAAAATTTAAAATGAACCATTGAACTGGTCACTGTCTTTCGCTCTCTTGATCAATTTAATCAGCTCTTGAAACTGTCAATTAGTTTTGTAAAACGAACCTCACACTATACACATCTCCGCACACAATTACCTCTCGCATATAACGATTTTTTATTGAATACAGATTTCACTGTATGCATGATAAATTACAAAAAAACTAGATAACAATCATGAAGATTTATCTGTTTTTTGTTTATTTCGATTGAAGGAAAAAAAAATATATAGAAGATCTCTGTTCATTGCTCACTCGATTTTTTTTAATTATCAAAGGAAAACGCAGAGGAGAGACAAAATGTTGTTTGTTTTGCATTTTATTTGCCCAAGCCTGATGCGAATTTCGCCGAAGCAAGACGTTTACCCAAACCAGAAGCGAATTTTGCATGTGCTAAACGTTTGCCGAGTCCACTAGCAAATTTCGCGTGCGCTAAGCGTTTGCCGAGACCACTGGCGAATTTCGCATGTGCCAAGCGTTTGCCCAGACCGCTGGCGAACTTAGCCGAAGCAAGGCGTTTATCCAAATTAGATACATCTTCTGAGCTGGCTATAATATCTATGGATTCGTCACTGTCCGAGTCAGGTGTTGCGTCGACAGTATTGAAATGAAAAAGAAACAGGACGGCGAGAAGACCAGTGAGAAGAATTAATTTTGTTTGCATGTCGATGATGATATATTGAATTGATCGTAAGACCTAAAATCAAACCAAACGAAATGATCGCCTAGTACATTCAATCGTTATGTAAAGATACGAAGAAAAACAAGTGAATTCTCCAGAGAAGACATGAAACAGAGAGGGAGGGAGTGATGATGATGTATGAGAAAAATGTATTCAAGTATTAACTAGTTCCTTGAAGGTTCTATATACTAGTCGCCGGAAAGAAAAACAGTTCATTGTTTTTCTTTTGATTTGTAAAGATGCTAATCATTCATTGAATATGTACGTCGTTATTCACGAAACACAATTTTCCTTGTTCTCCTTTTTTCTTCTATATATATATGCTCGATTGAAAACTGCTAAGGAAATAAGAAAAGAGATAAATTCATTGAACGACTGATTTTGTACGTGTAAAAGAATATTAGAAATGGAAAATTAATGATGATTAATGGACAAACAGTGGAGGTGGTGATTGAAAAAGTAGGCGAATCCTTTCATCTGTCGATTATACAAACATGCATCAGAACAACAAGAGAAGTAAACGCTTGTGCGGAATTAAATGAACTTCACATCTTTCCTACGAACTAGAAAAGGAAAACGTCAGAAAGAACGAGTATGGATGCATTCTTCATCTTTTATTCTCAACTTCAAGGAACACCGTCGAGCATCCTACATCGTATCGTTGCATATGTCAACTATACAGTCTGATTGATCGTTCACAGAAGACTACCCGGCTGAGTTTTACATCGACAAAAGATCTCTCTTACTGGTAGTGCTTGATTTGAACAGAGATAATATCTCGAGATTTAATTGAACTCGTCTGATTGATTCAAGATCGTATCAATCAAGTAGAAAATTGCACAGAAGAAAGCGATAAAAAACCCTCGCTAAATGTCACTAAAGATTATTTACTGAATCGGAACGTTCTGACTGATTGAACTCATAATATTCAATGAAATCTGATCTGATCTGATTGACTGGATAACTTATCGAAGAAGATGTACTATTTGTGTATGTCTTCTATCGAAGGTGTTCTTTCTGCACTTTTTTTTTCAACATAGATTATATTATATCCGCATAATGGAAAACGTTGATTATTCTTCTTTATTAAGAACTAAAAATAGAGAGAAAGGGCGTTGGGAAATTTCATATAAATGTTTCTGGCGAATGAAAAATCATCTTGTCGTTTCAGGGTTTTTATGTTCAAAATGATATATCTCGAAGGTGTACTTCCTCTAATCATTTGATTCTCTCATCCACGAATGAATATGTGTACTATTCACGCATTTCACATTAGTCGCAATGACTAGACGATATTCAATTGAAATTTGTAACGGAAAATGTTGAACATTACCCACAAGAACCGCACACTCTTACTTAACCATATTGAATATTTTGCATTATTCTGACGTTTTGTCATTTTGCACGCGGAGTATAATTTTTATACGATAATCATCTTGACTATGGCCATTATTGACTTTTTTTGTACTCACTTATCGTCAGTTGTCAGATATAGAAAATCTCTCAGTCGTAGACTTTCGAAAACATTCACCTTAACTCGTCATACAAACTACAAATTGACGTAAGAATGCGTCATGAAATTACACGACAATGATTCATTGCCAGTAGATTTAATCCACACTTCTTGCTTTTTGTACATTGCAGACTATGACTTCCGCTATAGCCTATGAAAATCCCGATCATCGCATGCAATCATCAGATATGTTGATCTCGAAAAATTATCACATACGACAATGGCTAGTGATCGTTGGCCTTGTGACAATTGGTTTGCTATTAAGTGTGATATTTATCAATTGCATTCTTCGAATACGTCGCGTTTACCGACGGATTGAACTTGACGAAGAAAAAGGTTCATCAGCTTGTACGCAATACGAAAATGTTTAGTCGTATCTGTTTGTCTAATAAAAATCTCGATTATCGTCTGTAAATTTGTCATTGATTATATGCATGAAGAAGTCCATGGTGATCATTTAAATGAATTATTACCTATATTTTTCTAATAGACCACATTCTTTTATTGTCCTGTTTGACAAAAGCGAAATAATGACTTAGGGAACGTCTCGAAGGAATAAATCGCCTTTTCCGCTAGCTAATGACAAGCAAGTCTTTGTTATTACTATTGGTTTGCTCAATACTTCTCAAGAATGGATCGACTAATGTTCTTAATCAAGAATTGCATGAATAAATCTTTTGAATCGATTAGATGATGCTGTTTTTTATTTAAAAATATTCCTTTTAATAGAGAGTTCAAACTAAGAGAATATAATGGAACATTTTGCTTTTTAATTGGATTCGGATTTGGTTAGATCATTGTTGATCATGGATGCCGATCGTTTCCAGAAATGACGATGGGGTGCACGTTTCCAAAAGCGTGATTTGGCAGCACGAGCATCGAGCTGATGAGCTGGAACGTAGCTATCTAGGTCAATCCAATCCATATGTGTAGGAACACGATCTTCTTGGTCAAGTGTGACACTCGATGAAAGTGTGACGCCAATGATAACAATGAAAAAACAGAGGATTGCGTTGAAGAAGATTGTTCGCATGGTGACTAAATAGAAAACGTCGAGCTGAAAACGTCAACGAGAACAGACTTACTGAGGTTTCTTTTAGAGATGGCAATCGAGTGATTGAAGCTGTATTGAATGATGATGAAATGGAAAATTTCATCGCTAAAAGTATCTCTCGACTTTCGATAGTTAATGATCTCTCGTTTTTTCCTCTCTTTCTCATTTTTTTTCTTCGTTTCAAGATTTCTTTGTCTCGATTCGCAAATCCATTAATCTATTCAAATCAAAGAAACTGTTTCCGTGTGGTATCCAATCGAAAGATATCCCAATCTAAACAAAGAACTTAGTTCAATCGAATTTCAACATCAAATATTCTTCAAGTATCTCCGACATTCCTAAGAAATTTCTCGAACATTCATCGATAACTGTTTATTGAATATGACTAGCATCTGTGACACTGCGAGTGCACATTTTATCAGCAATAATCATCTTTCGTATAATTATGTTTTTATGTCACTAATTAGCAACCAGATGATTAATGAAATTATATTTTCACTACTTATTTAACCAGAAAATCGTTGATCTGCAATCATATAACTGAAATTCGTTTGTGTTGAAACTATTTTTGATGCTCATCTCTTGCTCATTGAATGACTGATCGATCGCCCGAAGCGCTTTTCTATTGAGAGAAATTCATGCATATAAAACAAATGGTTCTATTCACACTTGATAACAGACATCATGATTTCTGCATATTGGTCGTGCTGCAAGCGATCGAAACCCTTCAACTAACAGTTTTCATGACATTATCATTAAAAAGACGACTGTATATATTACCTGTATTGATTCGACATTATTTTCATTTCAAGTTTTTTTTCTCACACGCATCTCAACATACTTATTTGTCAAACTATGCAAGGCTATCCACCACAGCAACAATTCGCTGGTCTTCCAGCCCAAGTAAGTCAATCTCGAAACCAACTCTTGACTTTATTATTAACTCTATCTAGTGTCAACAGTGTTTCTTAACACCGGGTTTTTCTCAACAACAACAACAACAACCTACGCCTTACGGTGCGTACAACCAATACTTTAACAATCCATACCAACAACAACAGCAACCCTTATTTTATCCTCAACAACAACCACAATTTTCCTATTTTCCTCAACAACAGCAATATCCCTTCGTCCCTCAACAACAATATCCATTCTACGCTCAACAACAAGCGCAATTCTATCCGCAACAGCAACCATTGTTCAATTGGCCTCAGGGTTTTGCAGGCCAAAGCGCATATGGCTACCAGCAATATTGGCCTCAACAACAGCAACGGGTTTTTGAAAATCCCCGAACCCCTATTCCAGCACCTGCTCGTCGAGAAAAAGACAAGCCAAAGAAGTTCTATGAACGGGTGTATTCATAGATATTTGCTTCGCGATTAAAATAACACAATTTTCCTTCGATGCTAGCTTCATTTTTTTAAAATTCATGTTGAAAACTTGCTAACTCGCTTCTTTAAACTCAAGAATAAAAAGACTTTTTATGCAAATCACTTGATTTTGCCGTTTAATTGACTGTCAAGAATTGTGCTCAAAAGCTCAGCTATGTTGAATTTTTCCTTTCTCTGATAACTCGTGAAAAGAAGGCGAAAATCAATTAGAATTCTGTCAATAAAACGTCATATGAAATATTCAAAAATAAATTTCTCTTCAGGTAACATAGTTAACAATCAAATGTGCTTCTTTCTTCTTCTTCTTCTTCTTCTTTGAATCAACACGACTAGATTTGATAATTAATCATTGATTAACTTTTTTCCCTTCCTGAAAGAAGAGAAAAAGAAAGAAAATGTTCAAACAATACATTTTAAATGAAAGGTCAATCAAACAATAAGAAATGATTTTTCCAATGAATAATTCCATTACATGTCTGATTTGATATTCATTTCGACATGTTCAATTTCTTCATCTGTCTTTATCTTTTCCAAAAAAAAAGAAAGGAAAAAAAATCGAAGAATATTGAACAGTAATGAGCGCGCAAGAAAACAAAACGAGACAAAAATGACGATGACAAAAAACATGAATGAATGAATGAATAGCAAATAAAAATCAAGGAAAAAAGTAAATACAGAAGTCTATTTTCGTTCTGTCTATCTCTCTCTCTCTCTCTCTCTCTCTGCTCTTCTCTTTTTCTTTATACTTCATGCACATACACCGGGGTATCTGCTCGTAGCCTAGTCGAATAAAAGAGAAATGAATGATAATCATGACGAGCAAGAGAGAGATTTCAAACAGCAAACATTTGAGGAATATAGAGATCCGATTCGTTCAAGGATTGGGACAAATCATCAAGAGCAACTAAGTTCGTATTCATAGATGATGAAGGATCAGCTGACATTACAGATGAATCAGGATTCCCATTGGTTGTATACATACTTGCATAGATGCGACGCTGAATTTAGAAGAAAAAGAATAAATAGGCGATCGTGTGAGAAAACTTTGATTTACCTTCTTTGCTTCATTCTCCATCACTTCGTATGGGTCTGCGTAATGTACATTCGAGTTAACGGGTGTTCCATACATATGATAATGTTGTTGTTGATGATGTTGTTGTTGTAGAATATGATGTTGCTGCTGCTGCTGCTGCTGTTGCTGATGTTGTTTTTGTTGAGAGGGATCAAGGTAGGGCAATTCAATCAGTCCATTCTTTCCTTTATTGGTTGTCACTAATGTTCGTCTCACGATGGGTCGTAGTTTATACAATGGAGGTTCAGGTGCGTTGGCGCTTATACATTTGGGACACAGCCATGTTTCTGGTATATCATCGCTGAATACACCCTCGCTGGTAGGAGTATCCGCATGAGCAGACTAGAAGTGAACAATGCTATTTGGTAAAGAGAAATTCTTCTTTGATTTACGTGAAAGCATGGCAAGTGGTGAATTTCCATACAACGTTCACATTCGTAGAGAATTTCTTCAGGTTTCAATTGGGATAGTTTTCGCGAGCCTTTCTTCTTCAAGCAAACTTGACATGATGCTGTTGATGGTAAGATTGGAGCAATACATTGTTTTGTCAGGCAGCATTGTTTCATTTTACCAACACCACCAAACTTTGGCATATCTTTGCAATGTACACATTCGGAACAATCGTCTCGACAGCACGGTTCACATTGTTTACAACTAGAAGATAAAGCACATGTGCAAAAAGCACAAGGAACATCGAGAGAACGTTTTACCGGACACGTTTATGTCGATCTTTGGCAGAATTATTCTTGTCGGCCTGGTAGTGTTGTTGAGTCGGAGATGTAGTTGGATTATATTGATTATAACTGTTGATGTAGTGTTGTTGTTGTTGTTGTTGCTGCTGCTGCTGCTGTTGTTGTGAGGATGAAGAGTAATAGTTTGATGAATTCGAACTAGCTAATGGGCCACTCAAGAGAACCGTGGTCGAAGGATGCAATGTCACAACATTTGAAGTTGGCTGTTGCATTGTTAATGTTTCATATTGACGAGAAGGGTGAAGATGATGAAAAGATGGCTGTTGCATATCGTCGTCAACGGGATTTTTGCGCTTTATGCCTTGAAAAATCTCCGTTTCGTTCTAAGAGCAAGTGAGAGAGAGAGAGAGAGAGAGTTACACACGATAAACGTTATATCATCAATGACGAGAAGAAAAAACATTGTGTCGACACACAGTGACTTTTGTAATAGTTTATTTAGAGCTCCGACTTTATGTACATGTGTCTATGGCTCTTGTTGTTTCTTAGCTTACTTGATTGCTAGTTGGATCGAACGAATGGTGGTGATGATGATGATGATGATGATTGTAGTTGTAATGGATCAGCGATTGCCCAGTTATTGATAAGTGAGGATCATCGGAAGCATGTTCAATGAGAAGACGCTAGAGTGTTTAAAAAAAGACGCGTTCGATTAGATATTTATGTTAAAGTACAAGGTTGACAATAAATAGAATGAGAGGTCAAGTGAATTTGATGTGTAAATACCTATTGAGAGGATCTATAGACATTGTCATAGCTCTTTTTATTGATCGGATTTTTTAAATAAAATTATTTGAACAGATGAAATATTAACGAGAGAATTCTGTATGTATGCTAGAGGTCAAATAACTAACCCTTATAGAAATTTCTCGTACTTCCTCTCTTTAGTTGACATTACCTCCATTGATTCCAACAGTTGCTGTGGCTGAACAAGATCTTCCGGGATCGATTTGTCTTTTAATTTGCGTAAGAGAGCACATAATGTTTTCAAACCGTCTAGCTCAAATGTGGTCAGATGTGGATGCGTCTGTTCAGTATCTTTATTATTATTATTGTTCACTAGCAACAATTGACTTGTTCGACAAGGTTTCAAATCTAAAGACAGCAATCATATATATATATATATATATATATATATCGAAAAAATTGGGACAATAGGGCTTCCTATTTGTTGCTCATCATTTGAACAGAATAACAATAGACCTCTCGAAGTACGAAGAAGGGTGGTGATGAGTACTAATAAGGAAAGAAAGAAAATATCATAGTTATCAAGAGAGAGAGAGAGAAAGGATGCCTTGATTTACAAACATGTCTACCTGTCTGCACTAATCGATTGCAATTATAAAGATTTTTTTGCAGAACTATAACTCCATACAACTAGAAATAAATCGAAGCAATGAACAAAGCGCAGAGGAGAAACAGAGAGAGAGAAAAAAGACGACGAGTTTTTCCCTTTTTCGCTCCTATGCGTTCATTCATAAAAGATTTGAGTAATTTGCACACAGATTTCTTTTCTTCTCTCTCTCTCTCTCTCGTTTTTCTTTGAGTGATCAGAAGACAGCAATAGCATAGGAAAAAAAGGGAAGGAAAATTTTGAACAAAGAACAAGGCACAAGCGCGCATTGTGTAGCGAGAACATATTATTATGATTGTGAGTGTGGTTGCACAAGCGAGAGAAAGTGATTGACGAGTGAGAGAAAGGAACGAGAACGTCGAATGATCAGGTTGTAATAGCGGTAGTGCGTATTAATTATTCTCTTCTTTTCCTTCTAGTTTTTTTTGTCATTTCAAATAAGAATTTCAAATTGATGGTCTTCACCTACTTCTCAAGATTTCCAAGTGCAATACATAGGCGCTACTTGAAAATTTATAATAAATATATGCGTAGTAGTTTGGCTAAGAGAAGAGAGGAGAAGAAAGAGAGAGAGAGAGAAAGTGAAAGATTTCATTTATTAATTAGCAAACACAAGCGTTTTCTTATTCTCTTCATCTGCTCCTTGACAAAGAGAAAATTAACAACAAAAATCAATGTTCTCATTGATGTTGATTCTTCTTTGATTTCTTTTCTTTTATTTACTAATGTGTGAGATTGACAAATATGAGATAAACCAGAAGGGAAAGTGTTTTGGTTAACTCGAAGAAAAACGAAGTCGGTTCTTGAACAAATTGTCAAATATCTCAAG